ATCTATCTATCTATCTATCTATCTATCTATCTATCTATCTATCTATCATCTATCATCTATCGTCTATTTATCTATCATCATCTATCTCTGTTTACCAAAGTATCTTCTACAACTGTATGTAAGCCATGGAAACAGCCAGCTTTCTCCCGCACAGGGCTCTATAGGTGCCTTTTATTCCTGGGCCTCTACTTTCTCTGGCACCATAGTCTCCATGCTTTGGCATCCTTTGCTGCCTCTTTCCTCCGTACCCAAATGCCACTATTCTTTTCTTCTTGTAGGTGCTTAGTCTTCCCACAATTAGAGTCCCAGACGCAAGACCCCTTGATTGGCTTCCTGTCTTCAGTCTTTCTTGGAGCATCTCCTTCCCTGCCCAATACCCAGAGCGATGATACGCCTATTAAAAATTCCTGTTTGCGTCTCCGGTTTCCTCTGCAGTCTCCTCTCCAGTAAGTCTGAAAGAAGACATGCTGCTTTTCTCAGTAATGAGACGACGTGGGCTGTCCTTTCCATGGGAGGATCCCAGCCCTGTCCCCTGACTTGACTACCTCTTACTTCAAGGAAACGAGATGGTAAAGAACGTGGCTCCGAGGAGACTTACAGGTGTAGAAGTACAGGTGCTGCTTTTCATAGTCAATATATTTGATTTTCTTCTTGCCATACTGCATGGAGAAAGAACGAGGCTTCAGTAAGAGACAACACCTCTGGCCACTGCACTCAAGGACATCTGTGGGCTCGTGTGTCTAAAATCTCTACAGAAAGAGCCATCTGACCAGAGTTCATGCTTGCTGAACCTGAGGCACTGGAAGAAGCGGGACTAGAATGGGAGGAAAACGGTGGCACCTTTTTGCTCTAATTAAATATGGGCAATTCTTTCATGCCTGGTTATTCCACTTGACCACGGGCATTGTGATCATTTTTATTTATTATTATTACTATAGAAGCCATTTTGAGGCTTTTTGTCCTTATACAGAGTGGAGTGGGGGCTGCAAAGGCACATTTCTGATGAGTTTGTCTAGCTCTTCTTTAACTATGCTGTTTACAATTCTGCTTGAAGCTCAGTCTCCATCTATATCCATTCATTCAACAGATATTTATTGAATGATCATGTAATAAAAAAGATACAGTCATGGCCCCTCCTATCTGTCCCATCTTTCCTCATTTGTGTTCTGACCATGGATCTCATTCTATAATTTTCTACTTGTAAAGCACAGTGATATTACATATAATCTCAGTACTTGGAATTTGATTCATTTCCTAGGGGTCTCCTTCATTAGTTTAATCTGTTCTCAGTGCATAAAGACAGAAAATACCTTGAGAAGAGTCATATAAGTAATGGTTTTATCTCCAATAACAAGCAGACATTCAATAAATGTTTAATTGAAGGAAGGAATGAATGAATGGTAATTCACATCCCACTCTATATTTTTGCTGTATATCCGCTCAGTTATACTATGGGCAGTGTCTGACTCTTGCTTTCCCCATTCTTTTAATACTTTCTGACCTACATATAGAGACCTACATATACTCTCCTATTTGGAGAGTAGGTTTGATCCTTTCTTCTCATATTGTCATAAATAAAAAGAAATATAAAGGTGATGATGTAATAATAGCTATTTGCAGTTACTCTCAAGCTTCTAAATATTAAGTGGTGGGCAAATGGAAAAGGAAGTGCCTGAAAAATGCTTGGGAGTCAGCCAACTCAGGGGAAAGGCTGGTTTTGAATATCTCTCCGAAGGAGGACTCTTAAGTCTTCCAGGTACACAGGACCTGGCACATAGATTTAATTAATGCTTGTTGCAAGAATGAATGTTTGAAGAAAGTGATAGAAATATTGGCAATAAAATGAGAGAAAGCAAGTAATCAGGACTCATCAGAACTATTTCTGATGCAAAACAACTGAATTTTAGAGTTCAAATAATTTTAAGTAATATTTTGTGCAGTAGCTTTGAAACTATGTTATATAGATCCCTAAGGTTCTAGGCATATGTCCCAAGAGCATCTGTGAAACTTGGAGAGGTGGCCTCCATCATTTGTGAAGCTCTAAAGAAGGCCCTTCTGGAGAAGGTCAAGCTGTTTCCTGAACTTCAATGAGAAAAATCTCCCTTTGTCAGGGGGGATAATTAGAGAAATCAAATGTCACAATTTTAGTGATAAGCATGGAATTCACAAACATCAGAGAGGTCCAATTTGTTTGTGGAGACATGGTCAAAAGCAACTGATTCACCATCACAAATTTTGTTTTTCAAAATCTAGCCAAGAGAATTTGTGTCCTAATTCAGATGAGGAAAAAGGTGAATCTCCCAAAGCTGGGAAAATCTATTTGCAAAAAGTTGCACAATTTTTGGTTTATGTACCACAAGGCCCAGGCAGCAACTGACAAAACGACATTCTTATTTTCATAAAATGCCTAAAAGCTCCTAGAAGAAGATAGCAGCTTCTTCCTAAGTACCTGACTCCCAGGATACATGTCCTTAGACCTCCTCTGTTGAACAAAGACTTCCCCTTAAGAAGCTTGGTGATTGTCCTTTACATGATAAATTTGAGATTAAAAAAAAAAATCAACAACTGAGAAATTCTGGAGTTGATTTACCCCTTCCTTTTTCTATCTTTTAAGAAGTACAAATTAGAGGTGGGATCTCTAAGTGTCTTAAAACACATTTGGGCTGTGGTTCATGTACATGAACCTAAATGAACATGAACTGAAAATGACAGCATTGTTTCTTCTAACTGAGCTAGAATTAGTTGAAATAACCAGAGATTTAGGTGTTTGTGCTTTAGTGCTTACTGAATGTACTGATCTGTTGTCCCTGAGTGAATGTCTCCACATCCTTGGAGAGCTTTGCCCACCTCAAGTCACCTAGTTTTACTATATAACATTAGCATGTGTTGCTTCAGAGCTAGTGACAGGAACTGGGCAGGGATCTGCTCGTTACCAGGCTTGCTCAAGCTGAGTGATACGGGTTATATTTCTTACACTGGGAGGTTGTACTGAATAACTTTTAAGGACATGCACTCCACATCTCTTTCTAATTTTACAACTTCAGGTTCAGTTATTTCGAATCTATATCCTGGACTTAAAAAGAGAGATGTTCTCAGGACATGCCATGTGTGAAGCTGGAAGCTCCAGCTTGATCTTTCCAAGACAGGGCGGTAGGCCTTTCTAAGAACCTCCTCCAGAAGCTTCTAGGAACCACTCCTAGGAACTTCTGGTGGTCAGGATTCCTAAACGTACCTTGATAGGTTGCAAATCTCCAACTAGGAAAAGTGGGCCCACATCAATATCTGGGTCTTTTGGGTAAATGTTTGGTTTTATGTGATGTTGGAAATTCCACCATTGTCTTGACACGCCCTAAGGAAAAGAGAGGGCTCATTAGTGGGGGTGAGATTTCTCTTTTGAAATATCCTTCAGGATTAGAGTTTTCTGCATACGTCTCCAAAGTCAAAACAAGGCATTTGAGCTTCTCAAACTTGCCCCCGCTGCTGGGTCACGGAATGATTCAGGGGCCCTCAAAGCCTACGAACAAGTGTTTATCTGAGTCAGGAACATAAATTCAGGCTCAGGCCCCTCCCGATAGTGAAAAATCATAAGAACCTGGTGAAATGAAATATTTTTCCATCTTTTTTGATTCTCATTTAAAAATATTCTAGAGGTAGGTGAGGCAGAGAGTAATTTTCCTATTTAAAAAAAAAAAGGAAGAAAGAAACCTCAGCTCTAAGACTTTAATTAGCTGAGGGGGAAAAATGGCCCCAGGCATCCTCCTTCAACAAATATTTCAAAGAATCATAGATGTGAAGTGATCTCCCCGGGGAGCATGGCTCAGGTTATTGCGTGTCCAGACTTCAATGCCCCCATATAAAAATAAATGAGAGTAAAACTATTTTAGCTGTGTCATGCTCGAATCATCCCTGCATTTGAAATGTGACCAAATTGAGATGGGCTGTAGGTATATAATACGTACTGCATTTTGAAGATTCAGAATGAAAAAAAAGGAATAAAAGTATCCTAATAATTTTTATACTGATAACCTGTTGAAATGATATTTTAATATGTAGGGTAATAAAGTTATCTTTTAAAATGTGGCTATTAGAAAATTTAAAATGACTTCTGGCATTTTAACGTGACTTTCATATTTCTTTTGCACTGTGTTAGTCTGCACACTATATGTCTATGATGGTTTTGCTTCAAAAATCTTTGTTAGAGCTGCCTTCCCATAGCCTTCACTGCAGTTTTCTCTTAGCAACCCGAGCCCTCAGTCCATCAGGAGCAGTCTTCTCGTCTCACTTCTAATATCCCCTAATGTCTTTCCAGTGTGATCTCTCTCTCTCCTGGCCAGCTCTCTCTCCTGAATCTCCTGCTTGAGTGAGGGATCATTTTCCAAACATTTCTTTTGGATGTCTTATGATATCTCAAACTCAACATGGAGTCATCAGTTTCTATCTCCCCTTTTGGGGCTCCAAGGACTCTGCATTGCTATCAAATTGCACACTCCCCGCTCACTTACAATTGTGTATTCACTCATTTATTCTGCCATTCATTATTTACTTTGAAGTTTGACCCATGTGTTAGATACTGAGCTAGGCAGTATTTGGAGTATAAAGATAGACACAATAAAATGGGATTCCCACACTTATGAAACATATAATTTAATAAGAGCAGTAGATAAGCAATGGTTCTCTTTTTCAATTAAATCCTCTGATAGCCAATACCTTGGCCTCTTCTACTGGCTTACTATACCCTTCGGCCAATGACTATCTATGGAAATTGGTAATATGAGACACAGGGTTTGATTCACGAAGGTCAGAGAGCATCTGTTCAAGGTCTTGGAACTTAGAACAGTGGTCAGAGTGGTTATGGGTGTGATCTAAAGCAGGTGGCTCCTCCCTGACTCCTCTGTCTGGAAGCCACAATTTCTGGAGACAAGGGAGAGAGTGATTCATAGGGAAGTAAGGATTATTAATTATGTCCAAAACAGGCAGCTCTGCACCCAGTCCCATACAGGAACTACCCTAAGTCATTCCTCACTTCCACCTTATTTCCTTTCTTAGGACAGTATCCAGGCTTTGGACTGAAACCATCCTGAATCCAAAGCCTTGCTACTAGGTTTGCGCCACTGGCCAGTCTCATCTGTCACATGGGTGAGGTTACTGGAATGATTACAGGAAAAAACATGCTTGACTCTCTTTCCCCCAAAATGGTTTAGGATGTAATCATAGAAACAACATAGGCCAGATTTTCAAGGAAGGTCTTAATTTCAACTATTCTGTTTCTTTATCTCTATAATAACACTTGACTCATAGCTTACAAAGTATGCATACTGGGGGGAAGGGTAAAAATGTGCTACAGGGAGTCCATTTTGGTTTTCATATTGTAAAGAAGTCCAAAATGTATGCAAACATTTTGTAGTTTATTTTCAGAAGTGCTCTTTTCTTATGTGAGCCCTGCAAAGACCAGAACGTATATATTTTTGCACAGCTAGTGGATGAAAATTCCAAAGAATCTCAATATCTGCCAGTATCTGTGCCTTTTCCAGGTGTGGGGAGAAGGTAAATTAATGTGAAATCAAGTTTTGAAATTTAAAATTGTCATAGATGTACAGGTAGGGATGTTTGCTGTTTATAGGATAATTTCCTTTGTCGCCTTCCTCCCGCCCACCTTTCCTCCCCACAGGTAACTGTCTCTCCTGCACATAGTTGAAGCCTATATTAATTTTTTATCATGAATCACATAGTGTCTACATTGTTAGCATATGTACATTTCTTTGTGGGGTGTGCACAAACATTTTTTTACTGATGTGAGTGCACAAGCACACTGGGAAACCACTGCCTTAGGGAATGGCCTTTGAGGATCCCATGGTACTCCTTGAACATCTTGTACCTTGAGATGACACATCACAAATTTGTGCATCAGGCGGTTCCACTTGGACTTCTTAAATATGGAAAGATGGCTTGTATCATGCTGCAAAAATAAACTCTGCGCCTAGAAGAGACGAAGTTGTCAGAGGAACTGGGAAGGGAAGGAGAAAGGCACAAATGAGCCCACTAGTTGATCCAGGAGCCGCCCTGAGAACACTGGGAGATTTCAGCCGACCCCCAGCCAAGCGCACGTCCCACTTCCCACACTTGTGTCCTTTCCCTCCGCTGTACCACTGCAGGGGGCTCTCTCAGCCTGGACGCCCCCTTTGCCCTGCCAGCATCTTCCAACGTGGAGTGGAAAGAGCATGGCCTTTGGAGTCAGGAAGGCCTGAGTTCTAAACTGTTCTTTACTGCTTTTGAGCTGCAAGACTCTTGGCCAGTTATCAGCAGCCCTGAACCTCACCTTTCACCTGATAAGCAGGGGTGACACCGCTTCATTCTCCGCCTCTTGTGCGATGTAAATACGTGTAAAGCTCCCAGCTTGTGCTAAGCACCAGCCAAATGTTTGCTTCCTTTCTTGCTTCCAAAGTTGCTTTTCAAAGAATAGTGCAAGTTGGCTCTCAATGAAAAGGTTAGCATAAAAAAGTTCTGGCCCTAGTTGGTCTGGCTCAGTGGATAGAGAGTCGGCCTGCGGACTGAAGGATCCTGGGTTTGATCCCCAGCCCTGATTGGGGCGGGTTCAGGAGGCATCCAATCGATGTCTCTCTCTCACATCAATGTTTTTTTTCTCTCTGTCTCTCCCTCCCTCCCTTCTACTCTCTCTGAAAAGCAATGGAAAAATATCCTTGAGTAAGGATTAAAAAAAAAATTTGAGAATTAACATTGATGTTAATTCTCCATTAAGCCTTCCCCAATTGTCTCATTCAGAATTAAATGCCTCTTTCTGCCCCAGAGGCACACACTTGTCCCTTTCCTTAGCATCAATGCCATTCTGTCACGTAACATGTTTAGATATTTGAGTGACAGTATCGGTCACTGGATGACTCATTTCCGAGGGCAGGCACTGGGCGCTTTTCCCTTTGTGTCCACAACACAGTGTTGTGCTCATAGGAGACTGTGTTCGGAGACTCATACTTCATTCCTCAAAGATTTATCAAGTCCGCACGCCAGGCGCTGGTTGTCATTTACGCTGCGATTCCCACATTCTTATTCTCATATAAGGTGTATTCTCTGCCTTGCAGAGTTCATGGTCTAATTCACTGATAAGTGCTGGCTGGCTAGTGAATGGACGATAAAGATGAATGTTACATGGCTGAGAACAGAAGTTCATTACTGAGCTTTTGTGGACAAAGTTAGGCAGAGTAGCAACTGTCATAAATTAAATATTTATATTATGCCAGTCACCACGCTAGGCGTTCTACACATTAACTTGTTTAGTCCTGCTCAGAATATAGTTTTATAAAAAAATTGTTTTCCCCATTTTACAGGCAAGAGAACTTGGGCCCAGCAAGGTCGGATAATCTGCTGGTGCCAGACACCGAAGCGAAGGCTGCCAGGAGGGATCAAGCAGCAGCTGACACCAACCTGAAGAGGGAAGAAGACATTCTGAGGCTCCTTCCAAAGCCACTGCCTGAGCTCAGGGCGCCTGCTTACCCGAGAAACCGCGAGGAGAACGGAGATGCATATTGTAACCGGCCAGCCATTGCCAAAATGCCACACCATTAGCCAAGCCAGGGCTTCCAGAACCGAGATCTGGGCGAGGTGAAGGAAGAAGAAACCCAGGTTGGCTTTGAACATGTTCATAGCCTCTAACGTCTTCCGCAGCTCCTGGAAATCTTCCAGCAGCTGGGCCTGTGGAATATTCAAGGGAGAAATTAGTTCTTTCAGGAGAAAGGGAACACAAGAGATCATAATGAATAATCTGTTTTATTAACTTACTAACACCTTAATTTTACAAATAGACATTTATTAATATCATTAAATTTAATAGGGAGGAATTAAAAACAAAACAACAATGAACAAACAAAACCTTTGAAAATATTAGGATAATTTTTTTCTCTAGAGAAGAGAAAGGAGAGTAGTGATTTGTCAATTGTCCTCACACTGTTAGGGAACTGAGAGGGGAGGTGGTGGTCAGTAAAGATATACAGAAGTCTAACAGTTGCCTTTTAAGCCATTAGTATTATTTCAGGTGTTGACTGATTTCTGGTTATGCTTTGGGAAACTTTGTTGTCTATATGGATCTATGTTACCATAGATACTGGCACAGTTTACAAAGTGATTTCTGTATTGTCAGTCGTTTATATGTACAAAGGGCTGGTTCACAGAAGATAATGAACACAAACAAATATAGGTCATTTAGATGAGCTCAGTGGATATATTTCCTGTGAGCTGCCAATGGATCCCTAGAAACAAGACAGGGTGGCTGGTGGCATTAGAGTGTCTGCTGGTTGAGGGGGTCCTGGTTCTGTGCACATGTACTGGGCATGTGTGCATGTATGTGTATGCACAATGCTAGCCTTGGTTTGCAAGCTTCTCACATCACAGTGGAGCATCAGCGCAAGGTCTGGGCAGAAATATCTCTTAGCTTAATGACTCTAATGGGTTGAAACCAGGACCGCTGAGAAAGTGAGCAGAGTATAAGAAAGAGAACAGGATTGTTCAGATGTAAGAAAGGAGAGAAATTTGAAATAAAAAAAGAGCTATGAACCTAATTCTAGAAGTCAAAAATTTCATTTAAAATTCACTGATGCAACTTTTAAAGTTTCCACTGCCTGGGAAAAGTCCGGATGGGTTCATTTATCAAGTCCTCATCAAGCCTGGAATTCGGAGTCCATAGATACTTTTAGGAGGTCATCTCTAGAGGGCCTCAGAGCCTGGTCATGTTTTCCAACATATTTATTGTACAGACACAGGGTCACCAAAGCCCAGAATAATACCTGGTCTGAAACCATCAGCAAGTCAGTGATGGATGCTGGACTTAAACTTAAGCTTCCTGACACTCAGTTTTGTGCTCAAACACTAATTGTCTACATACATATCTGGCTAAATATAAGATAATCATTCATTGTCTAAAAGAGTGTTGATCTCTGGGGGTAGCCATAAATTTTCTTTAATTTTATATCCATCTGTATATACATATATACCTTCACATAGATGTACTATAGAAAATTTATGGCAGATTATTACCTCCAGAGACCAACACTCTTTTACAAAATGAATGCTGATAGCTCTTAGCCATTAGTGGGATGTTCCTTTCCTTAGAGAATATTTTTAGGAAAAACAATTAAGCTTAGCATCATCTTCCATTTTTAACCTAGGGCATCCTGCCCTAAATGATGTTGAGTTCAGGATAATGGTAGCATCTAAAATTTATTGAGCATTTACTGTGTTCCAGAACTGGTCTGAGCATTTCAATGCCTTTAACTTTTTCAATAATCTCCCAATAACTCTTAGGACTTTGGTACTATTGTTGTTGCTATTTTACAGGGAGAGCAGCTGAGCTGCAGAGAGGTTTGGTAACTGGCCTAAACCTGGGCAACTTGTGGCAGGGCTGGGTTGTGAGTCCAAGCCATCCACCCTCGGAGCCCACCCTTCTGAACACAGTACCTTGCGGGATGCACGTGAACCTTAAGGGTGAGCTTAAGTGTTTGTCTCAGGTCTGCACATAACCAGTTCTGTATCCCCATATTTCCCCTGGCCTTCTGTGAGTTTGCTTCCTCATTTCTTAAAGTGGAAATATAATCCTTATTCTATCTGCCTCACTGTGATAGATGGATCAGCACTTCGTACAAATTATTTGCAAAGAATGGTACAAATGTAAGCTGTTTTGAAAACAACAAATTGCAAAAAAATGAAATGAAATGCTTAATATTAGCTGAAAACCCTTAAGCTTTATGTAAAACCATCCTGGTGAATTTTTAGTCTTATAGAGACCCCATCCTTTGGAAGACAGTGTTCAGGTAGTCAAGGTACTAGAGAAAGAAAGAGTGATGTCCTTCCTTGGGAACACCTAAGGGATAGGGGTCAGAAAGGAGTGATCTGGAGTCCTAGTTCTTCAACACACCAGCTCTGGGGCTTTCAGAAAGGAATTTCTTTTCCCTGGACTCTAATTTCCCCAAATGTCAAAAGGGCTGTAGTTAGAATATACTCACATCTTTGATTCAACAGCCAATTATGGAGTGCACGTGAGTCCTAAGGACACAGGGATAAGCCACAGAGATATGATTTCTTCTCTCATGGAACTTAGTTTATCAGGGGGCATAGACATACACATTACACTAATAATTACAAGCAGTCACTGAAAACAATTATAAGTCCCTGGCATGAAGTAGGTGTTTAGAGACATGGAATTACTGTTTGGTGTAGGGCCAAACACTCCGTTCCTTTGTTTCACAGAGGTTTCATTGTTCTGAGCGGGGGGATGGCATTATTTGAAAATATGTGGCACCCACTTATTCATGCTACTGTGGGCCCGCCCAGGCCTGAAGGCTGGGTGTGCACAGAGAATGATAAGTTCACCTGAAATGTACCTTGGCCCCTAACTTCCACATTTTCTTGAGTCCTGAGACCTCACTCACGTTTTTGTTTCTCTCCTGGCTGGGCTCTCCCTGGGCAAGCTCTCCCATGAGCAGTGGCTTAAGGTACAGTCACACAGTGTCAAGATCCATGTGCATGGCTCTGAAGATATCCTGTGAACCAGAGACAGCTGTTAGAGGCTTAGAAGAGACATGCTGATCCGCAGGATAGTCCCCTTCCTGACCTCACCCTGTGCCCATCTTGGGAACCAGCACACTCTCTGCTGTAGAGAATTTGCTTTCAACTTCTGGTTGATGCTTCGAGTTGATTGAGCAGAATTACCATTGGAAATCATCTGTGAAAGCTGGGGATCCACCTACTGAATGCACTGATTCACTGGGCAAGTCCAATGCAGCCAGGCTGTCCCCAAGCATTGGAAGAGACCTCTATTTTATTGAGAACTAGAAAAAATAGTGGCTTGAGTTTATGGGTCATGATAAATCTTTCAAGTTCAACATCATGCTTGTGGAAGTGGCTTATACTATCTAAGGAATGCAGCAACCAAGACTGGTGTTGTAGATCATGTCTCCCATCAAAGTCTGCCTCTGGGTTCTTAGCCAAGGACCAGGAGAATGAGGTTCTTGAATTAAGTTATTTTAAAAAATAAAATAAAAATGCAGTAGATGATGGTTGCTTAAGACAAATGTGGAAGAGAGTGTGGGAGGGCAGCCCTTGAGCTCTGGGTTGTCTAGACTAGCATGCTCTTGGCTAAATTTGTCACTGTTCCTAAAAAACACTGAGGCAGTGTCTGCAGGGGCTTGTGACAGCCAGGCAGAGAATCCAGTTGATTAACTCTACTTTTCCATTTCAGGTCTCACGCTAAGCAGACATTCCGAGTGGCTATGAGAAGCGGCAGTGGTTCCTATAGCTTGCTTATATTTGGAAGTGAGAGGTATTCCCTTCCTTTGGGGATTTAAACAGTGTTTGGGAAAGGGGGATTTTCTAAGAAGAAGATGCTGGACTTTCTGCTACTATGGCTTTGGGGATGGGAGTGATTAAAAATGAAATAAAACCAAGGTTGCAACTTGAATACATGGAAACCATACACATTACTCTGAGTTCTGGTGTTGCATAGAACTGATTAAGCAGACCCTGAAGCAGCCTTCCCACATGTAAGTCCTGCCTTTGCCACTTACTAGCTGTGTAGTTGTGGGCAAGACTCTTGACCTGGCTACGCTTCTCTTTTCACTAACATGGAGGTCGTGATAATAGCTGCTCAATTCATAAAGTTACTATAAGGACTAAGTGAACTCATTAAGATCTGATTGGCAGATAGTAAATTCTCGATATACATTAGCTATCTTTCTTATATGTATACCTCTAGTGATACGAGCTTACTATCTTCTCTGCAAGAGAGCAATTCAGATATTTTATTCCTGTGCTCCAATGCCTAATGTGGTGTGAGCTCTGATTTATTTAGTGAATATAATAAATTCACCATCTTTAAATTGTAAAGCAACTTTAGATATAGGCATGAACTACCTGTGTACCTACTTATAAGAAGGTGCTTATATAATCAATAAGGTTAATTGGAAAGGTGCAATGTTGACTCGTCGGACCTCCTTCCCCTAGATTCAATGATGTAGAAAGAGATTTGTATCTGCTAGGACCAGTCCAGACTCAACTATCCATTCTGCCTCTGCACACCGCCTCTAACCCCCTTAGAAAATGCCGAACTCTATGCTTTCAAAGGTGTATTTTAATTGTCACATTTGATGATTCTGAAACTTAGTTCCCCTGACCAGGAAGAGAGTCATTCAGTGTAAGAAGGTGAGTCAAGTCACTCAGGATGATCCATACTGAAAAAATCATGTTCTGCTTGTTGTTTGGGAGCAGATTAAGACGGAAAGCAGCCTTTCTGATTGATCAAGATCCGAGTATAAAGGAAAGGTAGGCCACTGCAACTTCATCTTAGTCTGAGCAGTCACCCAGCATCCTGGAACAGCGAGCTGGCATCAGATTCCTCTGGGTTCACTGTTTCTCCTGATCCCCAGCAGGGTTCTCCAGTCAGTACTGTGGCGACGGACACAGGAGACCCACACAGTGTTCCAGAACAGTAGGCGTTGCTCTGCTCTGTGGAGCTTTTTCACTGTGCTGATGGGCAGAACAAGGAAAAAGTGTAGCTCATCTTTGAATCTTTGATTTAGGAGAATTTCCTAATAGAGACTGAATGCTAGTCAGTTGTGAAATTCTCTCTTGAAAGACCTGCAGAAATGAGTTCTGTTACCAACATTCTTGGGCAAGTATGTCCCCGCTGAAGGAAGGAGAGGGCATAAAGTGAGGAGGGGGAGGGACACTGCCAACACTGTTGAGTGTATCCTATGTACAAGGTGCTCTATGGGCCGACTCATAATCATCACCTTAGTTCCGTGAGGCTCCATTGCTTGTATTGCAAGGCAAAGACGCCGTGTCTCAGAGGAGCAACACCAGATTGTCTGGGGAGGTGCTAAAATCAGTATGTATCCGCCGAGCAGAGGGTAATGGTGAGTCCCCACCTCGGGCTGTAATCATGTGAGTCACTTTGCCTCTGGTTTCAACCTCCCTCCCTCGGCTTAGCTCTCATCATCCCCTTCATACGTCATGTTATTCATTGGACCTCTCCCCATTCAATAAACATTTCGTGCCTCTCCGTGGTGCTGGAGCTTTGCACATACCGTTCCCTTTGCCTTGATGGCCGCCTTTCATTTACTCTACACAAAAGTTCTTCTTTACCCTTCAAGATCCAGATGAAATACTGCCTCCCCTAGCCCACCCAGGAAAGTTATTCATGATCTCCTCTGGGCTCCTATGACACTTTGTTCCTAGAACTTCTCAAATTATGTTGTAAGCCCTCTATGTCTTTACCTCTTCTCTAGTGGCCTTTGAGTTTTTTGAAGGCAGGGACCCTGTGCTATTGATTACACTATACATACCATCCATCGGTATGCTTGGAGTATGGCATGAGATCATGGATGCTGAATGAAAACAGGAAAGGACGAATGAATAAATGAATATAGGGTTTTTCTAAGAAGGAGAAAGTTGGGATAATCAAAGTGTTGAACTCAGAGGTCTTAAGCACCACTGTCTCCTCCTTGCCCTCAGCATCTCTCATGTTCTGATCTTTCTGCTGCATTAGCCTCTCTCATTTTCATCTGTTAGCCTTTTGATGTTCTTCTCAACCATCATCTCTATTCCTTAATCTATTCACAAATTTATATCATAGCTCAAACTGATTATTTTCAAAACAGTATCAACACAGAAAAAATGTGATTTTCACAACTAGCTTGGAAATCCTGATAGTTTTTTGCCAGATTTCCATAAGTCAGTTTAGAGTCCTTCATCTTGTTTACTTATGCAGTCATTCATCAAGTATTATAAATTACATCTCCTAGATATCCTTGGCACCCACCCCTCTTCTTTATTCCTATTGTCAATGCACTGTTCAGGTCTCTAAACGTCCCCTGGATTTAGGTACCCTCATTCACCTTTGATGAGGAGAATAAGGGTTTGGAGAAGAGTCACTGTTTAAATAGGAAAAGTGTC